AGACTTTAACGTAGCTTTTGTCTCACATTGATTTGGGGAGTTGGTTTGAACTACTATATATACAAGAGCCTTTTAAAAGCATATAGAATTTTATGATATGAACCGCAAATTATGCCCTGGAAACGTGTTCACCGTGAATGGTGAACACAAGTCTAAACGACGTCGTTTTTATGCAAAAAAAATAAAATAAAATAAAAAAAAATCGCGGATGTGGAGTTAACGGCGTCGTTTGATCAAATTATGAATTTTCTGTTATGAGATTATGAATGTAATGAAAATTCATAATCTCATAACAGAAAATTCATAATCTCATAACAGAAAATTCATAATCGCATAAAAGTAAAATATTTATTAAATTATGAATTTTCAATTATGAGATTATGAATTTTCTGTTATGAGAATGAGATTATGAATGTAATGTAGATTCATAATCTCATAACAGAAAATTCATAATTTCATAACAGAAAATTCATAATCTCATAACAGAAAATTCATAATCTCATAACTGAAAATTCATAATCTCATGGTTCCAAAGTGAATGTGCAGGCATGGTTCCAAAGTGAATGTGCAGGCATGGATTCACAATTTATGAATGTCCGTGATTTTGGACAGGAATGTGTAGGCATGGTTCCAAAGTGAATGTGCAGGCATGAATTCATAATTTATGAATGTCCGAAATCATTGCTCACCTCAAATTAAAGTGAAACCGCAAAATGTGAAAATGAAGGAGAAAAGTCACGCAATTAATTAAGAAAGAGAAAAAAAAAAGGAAAAAAAAAAGAAAAAAAAAAAAAAAGAGATAACGGTGTACTAACACCGTTGGAACCGTGTTCACCATGAATGGTGAACACGGTTCCATGGCATAACGATTGGATATGAACTATGGAGGCTCTCTCACCCATAGGGGAGCAAATCAAATCCCAAAATGAACTTGAAAATATTAGTCTAACAATAAGTATGATTCATTTTCCACCATGTAAATTTTTTTTTAAATTTTATGGGCAAGTAATATTTTCTTTTCAAACAATAACCAATAATTCCTTTATTGAAAATTTTTAAAAAATAACAATATATATATATATATATATATATATATATATATATCTACAACATTATCTATAATGAAACTTGGATATTTTATTTAGGCCTAGATAAATAATTATTGGTATTAAATATTAATGGGTCCCAATCTATGTGCTAAAATTACTTGATGCAGCCCCTTGTATTTGGATCCACCTAACAATTTATCTCTGTTTTTTTTTTTTTTAAAGTAAACACGTACAATCTATCAAACCTTCACCAAACACCCCCTTGTTTGATTTTTTTTTTTTTTTTAATCCTAAAATCATCACAAGGATTGTAGTTGGTTTGCAGTCACCTGTCTGATTGAGAATTAAGATTCTATTAAAAAATAATAATTTGTGACTTAAATTCTAAAAATTTAAGTAATTCTTTTAAAATATTATGAATAAAGTAAAATCTATTTTAGAATTGTAAAATAAAAAAATAGAAAAAAAAAAAAAAAGAAAGAAAAAAGAGTCAAATTAGCCCTCAAACTTTACCTATAAAGTCAATTAAGTCCCTATACATTACAAAATTGCAATTAGACCCATAAACATGTCATTTTAATGACTTGTTATTGCAGGTCACAACAATTCCAGTGACCTTCAAACTCACTCCGGCGACATTTCAATTAACTCCGGCAACCTTCAAAATAACATGTTTACGGGTCTAATTGAAACTTTATAATATTTAGGGGCTTAATTAATTTTATAGGTAAAATTTGAGGGTGTATTTTATATTTTTTCCAAATTAAAAAAAAAAATATTGAAGGCAACCTATTTGAAGGTTTCCATAGGAGACTGTCAGTCTCTGTCTCCTTTGTTTCCAGGTAGAGACGAAGGATGGAACGAAAGCATATGATTGCTTTCAATTATTAATTTGTGTTTTAATGTTATTTTAAAATTTCAAAAATATTAAAGGTGCTATTATTATCACTATTATTATAAAAATATAAAATTCATGTAAGATGCTACATAAATATAAATTGCATCATCAATGTGTAATACTATAAGACATATCCAATTTATCATTTTTACCTGTCATATTTAATATTTATTAGTCAAATTAATTTTTTTATTTGTTTATTTTATTTACTATTTTTAAATTTCATTTTTAGGTGTTTTATAGTATTTTTATATAGTTTCTAAATATATATTTCGTACATTTTATATACTAATATTAAACTCAATATTATGAAAATTGAATTCAAAGATTTAATAAATAAACCTATTAGTATCCTAGTAATGAGTATTTAATTCATAAATAAATATATAGATAATTTAATATTTTTATCCTAGTATAAGGGCAAACCTATTAGTTTGGTTTTTTGTTCAAAGATTTTAAGCCAAATAGGATATAGAAGGTTGAGGAATAGGAGAAAAAAAAAAAAAAAAAAAAAAAAAAAAAAAGGAGAAAAAAAATGGTTGTAACGTGTCTAGATGGGCATGTGCAGTGCACGCATTCACTGGCCACGCTTGGTGCGCTAAATACAGACATGAAGTAGCAATATTTTTCTTGCGCGCCCCACAAAAAACTAACAGGGGCGTTTGGTTTGAAAGAATTTAAATTTCATTTCCACCTAATTCCAAAGGCCATAAAATTTCTTAGTTTGATTGGAAGGAATTGTAATTCCCGCATTTTTATGGAATTAAAATCCCATGTCCCCCTGGGATTGACATGGGATTTTAGAAAGAAGAAAAGCTAGTGATGAGTAAAAATTACTCATCCCTTTTTTTAAATCTAAAATTAATACCACAACAACAATGGGCATTTTAGACTTTATACTACTTATTTCCTTTAATTTCCCATGCATACCAAACATTGAAATTGAAATTCTCAATAATTCTATTCCTATAAACTAAACACTGAAATTTAAATTCTCACTTTATTCCCAGTAATTCATCTCCCATTGAATTGCAATTCCTTTCCCACGTAATTCCCCCCTCCAACCAAACGTCCTGTAATTCTCTAGCAACACACTCTTATTTATCTCTCTCTTTCTACTCATCCATCCATGTTAGCCTCTCTCACATCCACATAATCCTATCCTCCTCCACACCCCCCCCCCCCCCTCCCCTCCCCTCCCCCCGAAAAACAAATTTTAAATAAAACACGATATCATTTTTTCGGACAACAACAAAAACTCATGAGCACTATCCAATGGTGTGTATTGGGTTTGACTATTATGTAATAACCCACAAATCATATGGAAGAGGTAAATTACACTAAGGAGGTGTTAAGTTCAAGTTATACAACATAACCAAGGATATCTAATATTACAAAACTTACATTCCCATGTTTGGTTCATATTATCTTACTTTCTCAATGGAAGATAATACTATATTCTCCAAAGAATGCAACATACCCTTCACATAGAATTTTGAAGGGAATGTGATTCCCTCACAATTTTAAGTTATCTAAGATTACCATGGATATTTATAAATTTTACCATTCTAATTCTAATTATTATAATATATATATATATATATATATATATATATATATATATATATATATATATATATGGAAGGGATCATGTGCATTTGTGGCTTCCCTTGCGGTTGTGCAGTAGATTAATGTGCGTGAGTTATATACTTAATTAATGTGCGTGAGTCGCGTGCTTAATGTGCCTGAGATTTGTACTTAATGTGCGTGAGTGTGTAATGTTAATGTGCGTGAGTTTTGTACTTAATGTGCCTGAGTATTGTGCTTAATGTGCGTGAAGTTTGTGCTTAATATGCGTGACTTGAGTTCAGAATTACGAGCTCAGAAGGAAGCAAAACAGAAAGAGAAGGTGGGTGAAACTTTTATGATTGTGTGTGAATGGATGGATATATGTAAACGCACATATGGATGTTTTGATTTTATGTTAAAAACAAATCCATTCCTCCACCACTTCGAAACAAAAAACAAGAAGAAAATGCAGCAGTGGATGAAGAACACACTCACGCACATTAAGCACACAACTCACGCATCTTAGGCACAAGACTCACACACCTTAAGTACAAAACTCACGCACATTAACATTACACACCCACGCACATTAAGTACAAATTTCAGACACATTAAGTACAATACTCACACACATTGAGTACAAACCTCACGCACATTAATCTACCGCACAAGAACCTTACACTATATATATATATATATATATATATATATATATATATATATATATATATTACATCATGTTGACTTATGAAATAATTTTGTTTCTCAAGTTCAAGTTTTTAAATCATGTAATCATATATGAAACCTTTTTCTTATTTATTTATGAGGAAATGGTCAAATAGGCCCTTAAACTTTACCCCAAAGGTCAATTAGATCCCTAAACTTTAAAAAATTGTAATTAAACCCTCAAACATGTCAAATTGGATCAATGAAGCCCAAAACTCGATAAATAACATGTTATTACATGTCATTTTCAATTCTGGCGACCGACGACGAATTACAGCCACCGAAGACAAAATCCGACCATCCGGTCTGCTTCTACTGGAGAAGACGATCTGAGGACCGCCTTCTCCATTGGAGAAGACGACCAGACGGTCGCCTTCTCCAAGGTTGCCAAGTTGGTGCATGTTTTGCGTGCAGGCGCATTGAGGATGGTCGCCAACTAGCGACCACCAATTTCTATGTTGCTTTCTTTTTTTTTCTTTACAAATAGACCTCAACAGTTCTCAACCTATTAAGACTTCTCTAAGGTGGATGGCACGTTGATTTAGAAAATGTTAGATAAAAATTAAATTCGTAAACAATGTTGATGAAAATCAAACTTGTGAATATAGGAGTTGTTTGTAATTATTAAAAAGAATTTTCGGAGTTTGAAAGTTTAATTAAAGAGAAAACGAGTAGGCATGTGATGGCTGATACTGCGGACCCATCAGACAAAACGAGTCCCCAAAATGGTTTGATTGTCAAAAAGAAGCTTCCCTTTCTGCCACTCTCTCTCTATCTCTATCTCTCTCTCGTGCCTTAGAAACTTTTTGCCCAACAAAGCATTATTTTTACTCCATGAAACACCCTTCGTCTTTCACAAGGCTATAAATGCTAGAGATTGCCCTTTTTTTCTGTGGTTTCTTTTCACCTTCTCTTAGCTACTAAGGCACACACATTTAACCATCGCGCTTTATATACATACACAACCGCACACACAAAGTATTATACATATATATATATATATATATATAAATATATCTCTCTCTCTCTGTATAGATGTGCGTACAAGGTTGTTTTGTCGGAGCCTTGAATTTGTTTGTGTTCATATCCAGAGGGAAGTTCTTGGATTGTAGGGAAATAGGGAGAGGAAGAGAATCAATGGACTTTTACACATACCTATCTCGTGCTTTGCCTTCTTCTCCTGCGTTTGCTTCTCTTTCTTTTGGGAATTTGGCTGATAGGGCCAAAGGATTCTTCACCTCTGCCGTCTCTAACGTCATTGGCAGTCTCTTCTCCGCCATTTTCACCTTCTGCTTTACTTTGGGTATGTGTTGCGCTTTTATTTTGGCGATTCGATTGCTCAGAATTCTTGATTTTGTTTATGATTAGGGGTTGCATATATATATTCTCAATATGTGATCTTGGTGTTTGGATTTCGTTTGCTTTTGATTATGGATTTTTTGTTGTTGAAACTCCAGTATTTGATTCGGGATGGGTTTCCAATTGTGGGGCCTTTTAGATATTTAGGAAAATTAACCGAACAAGGAAGAATCTTTTTTCCCAATTAGGTGCAGCTTTTAGATGTTTGAAAAACTGAGCAAAAAGGGGAAGAATCTTTCAAGTTATCTGCCAAACAAAAATACAGAAAGGAAGAGTCTTTTGAGTTCAAACACAAGTTGTATCATTGTACATTTATACCTTCTGGTTTCTTTAAGAATGTTCAAGGTTGCATATGGCATGCTGCATTTATCCTTATTATGTGGATGGTTGTGTGTTGAAATTCTTTTTGGGTGACGAGGAAAACCCGCAACCACTGCCCTCTGAGGGTGCGTATGGGTAAACATTTTACCCGCCTTATGACCCTAGCGGGAAAAGGACCAAAGGGACATATCAGGTTGTCCATAGGTGACCAGTTCAAACCAAGAAGGTCAATTAGCCGCTCTCATTAGGATTTGAACTTGGAACAACCCGACCAACTTGGCTGGGGTTGCCCCGTGTGTTGACCCTTATGACCCTAGCGGGCAAAGGACCAAAGGGGTATATCAGCGTAGGTTGTCCATAGGTAATCAACTCAAACCAAGAAGGTCAATTAGCTGCTCCCATTAGGATTTGAACTTGGAACAGCCCGACCAACTTGGCTAGGGTTGCCCCCGTGTGTTGAAATTTTCTTATGTGGAGAGGCATCCTTTGCCTTAAAGCAGAAAGGCTTGGTTCCACTGCATTTATCTTTATTATGTGGATGGTTGTGTTTTGAAATTTTCATATGTGGAGAGGGGTATCCCTTTTTTAATATCAGAAACTGCTTTGAATATTCATGGCTGTTATTAATCAAGGAATTGGGTTTGTTCTTGCAGTTGGAACCTTGTTAGGGGCAATGACTGGAGCTCTGATAGGCCAAGAGACGGAGAGTGGCTTCATTAGAGGCGCTGCAGTTGGCGCTATCTCCGGAGCTGTTTTCGCTCTTGAGGTCTACGAATCATCACGGCTGCTGTGGCAGTCAGATGAATCCGGGATCGGGTGTCTCCTCTACTTGGTAAGTAAACACGACTTCTACGCTAATTTGAGCAAACTTTGCATCTTTTTGTTGCGTTCGAAGCTGTTGGTTAGTTTTATTCCCGAGTCATTGAATGATTTGAAACTATACACAGATTGATGTGATTGCAAGCCTGATAAGCGGTAGACTTGTTCGGGAGCGTATTGGTCCCGCAATGCTGAGTGCAGTGCAGAGTCAGGTATTGGTTTATCATTATTGTATCACCATGAATGTTGAAAAAATCTCTAGGCGCTCTCTTGGCGCCTGGGGACCGCCTAGAGCGCCTAGGCGGGTGCCTAGAATGCCTAGGCGGGCACCTAGGAGGCTGACCACCTAGTGCTTAGGCGCCGATTAATCGGCACCTAGGTGCGATTTTTGCAACACTGATCACTATAGCAATGCCAGACTTTTAGGTGGAAACTAGAATTTTGCTTCCATTTACTAAAATGTTCTCGTGCTGCTGCTGATCAGATGGGAGCGGTTGAATCCGCATATGAAGAGGCGTCTAACATCTTCGACACAGGCGGGTCGAAGGGCTTGCCGGGGGATTCGGTTGAAAGGATTCCGAAGATTGTAATCAGCAGCGACGACAATGCGGATGCTTCAGGGGAGAGAGTCTCTTGCTCGGTTTGCCTGCAGGTATGCAACTAATTCCTCTTCTGTGGCTCTGTCTCTAATACCAAATTGAATGATCTGTTTCGGTTTAACTAAAAGCGTTTCGATATTACCATTTCTACGCGTTCAGGACTTTCAGGCCGGGGAGACGGTTCGAAGCTTGCCGCACTGCCACCACATGTTTCACCTTCCATGCATCGATCCATGGCTGTTGAGGCACGGTTCTTGTCCATTGTGCAGAAGGGATCTGTAGAGTATGTAGTGACTGAAGTGAAGTGTTTGTTTGTAAATATAGAAAAACTTGTTTCATTTTATCCATATATTTATACTTGATTATTATAGGTTTTTTTTTCTTTTTCTAATTCATTCAGCCTTTTTATCAGCACCAATTTTCCAGAAAGCCTATGTAATTAATCCTGAGTATTTAGTACTCGAATTTGATCATTGTACTTGACCATCCTCCTGTATAAAAAGTTTTTTTTTTTTTTTTAAAGCTGTGATAGTGTTAATTTGCTTACATTTCATCAAATATCTTTGATTTACCGAAAAACTTGCAATTTGAGGTGTTGAATTCACGTCGGTGCGCACAAGAAATTTGTCTACTTTGGACATAATTCCCATACTGTCGCCGCCTAGAGCCGTCGAAATGGTCTCGCGGGGTGGGACGGGCCAAAACACACCAAAGCCCGTCCTCGTAGCGGGGTGGGCTAAAAAGCCCGCCTCTTAGCGGGCTTAGAGTGTGGCCGCCTCGCTCCGCCATGCCAAAGCCCACTGGCGGGGCGGGCCAGCCCGCCAGCCAATACTTTTTTGTAATTAGAAAAGATTTGGTGTGTACTGTAGGTTTGTAATTACACTACTTTGTAAGTGTTTTAATTTTAAAAAATGACATGCAAACTAACATGTATTAAATACTAAATATTAATACAAATTAAAATAACTAACAACTAATAGAAATTATCCAAACTTTCAAGTTTCTATTCAACATTAAGAATTAAAATAAAATAGTTTTGCAAATACTAAACTTCTAAAACTCATAATTCATGAACCATTATATCATTCATATCATGGTCTTATTCTCCTTGATCTCTATCATCATTGATTTGGAAATTAGAAATTGCGAAACATACTGCGATATATATATTTTTAATATAGATTAGTAGGCCGCGGGCTAAACCCGCTGCCCGCCTGACCCGCCCCGCTTGGGCCCGTGACCGAGGAGCGACGGGCTAAAAAGCCCGCCTCCTGGCGGGTGAAATAATCAAGAACCTGTCCCCTACATACAGCGGGGCGGGACGGGTCGACCCGCTGGGTAAAACCCATTTTGACGGCTCTATCGCCGCCGAGGTTCGAACCTTGGTCTCTTACCCCAAATACTGCCTACTAAACCATTGAGTTAAGCCCGTGCGGGTAGCAAGTCAATTGTCTGATCAACTTGATTGGTGTTGTCTCTCATTTCATACCATATCTATTATTATTCGCTTGGACGCGAAGTATATGCGCTTGGAGTCTCGGACGAACAATTAGGTTCGGACCGAGCAAGAAAAGGTTAGGGCGACGACTTATTAAGCTATATATGGTCGATAACATTTGGCCATTTGGGTCGTGATCGGTCAAGCGTCACGCACATGTCAGTTCAGATCAGAAAATGGTCTGAGTCTCAAAGCGATTCGTACCCGACCAGGCCGAGCAAGAAAAGGTTAGGGCAACGACTTATTAAGCCATCGAGTCGATAACATTTGGCCATTTGGGTCGTGATCGATCAAGCATCACGCACATGTCAATTCAGGTCAAAAATGGTTCGGATTTCGAAGCGATTCGTACTCAACCAGACTTTAAGTATAAGAAACGCCATAGACTGGGGGTATATTCTTATAAGTAGCCTCCTAAGCGTTGCCCCAAGATTCTTTTGTGTAAAAATGGATAATTTTTTACAAATATAAGTTCATTTTTAGTATATTTAATATACTTAAAATGAAAATGAATAAAGAAATGCCCCATCTTCATTGCCTGGAGATTCCTGCACAGGATCCAGGCAGCAGTGGATAAACTAGAATATGCAGATTTCAAAAACTTTTGCATTTTAGTTTATCCAAATGCCGCCGTGTCTCAGCTTCTCCACCGCACCTTCATCTCCTTTCTCAGGAATCGCTCCCTCCACGCGCCACCGCATTAGAGTTCACAGGCCAACCAATGCATCTTCACAGGTTTCTCTGGACGCGCCACTGTCTAACGAAACCTCGCCGTCCGACCAAAACAAAACCGGCGTCATTGTGATCGGCGCGGGACTAGCTGGCTTAGCGGCAGCGACTCGTCTCCGAGCTGAGAACGTCCCTTTCGTCCTCCTTGAAGCTTCCGACGGCGTTGGAGGCCGCGTTCGCTCCGACGTCGTCGACGGCTTCATCCTCGATCGCGGCTTTCAGATTTTCATCACGGCTTATCCCGAAGCCCGAAGGCTTCTTAACTATGAGGCGCTAGACCTTCGCAAGTTCTATTCGGGAGCTCAGGTTTACTACGGCGGCCGTTTCCACACCGTCGCGGACCCTCTCCGCCACTTCTCCGACGCCTTAGGATCGCTTGCGAACCCTATCGGCTCAGTCGCCGACAAACTTCTCGTTGGATTGACTAGACTCAGGGTTTTGACTCGGCAAGACGATGAGATTTTGACTGCTGATGAGGTTCCCACTATCAACCTCTTGAAAACCATCGGGTTTTCGGATTCCATGGTGGACCGGTTTTTCCGGCCGTTTTTTGGCGGCATTTTCTTCGATACAGAGCTCGGAACGACGTCGCGCCTCTTCGATTTCATCTTCAAGTGTCTCGCTCTCGGCGAAAACACGCTCCCGGCCAAAGGCATCGCAGCAATCCCGGAACAATTGGCGGCAAAATTGCCGAAAGGCTCTTTATGGTTAAATTCGAGAGTAGATTCCATCAATCTGGAATCGAACCCGGCCGGGATGCAGGTGACTTTAGAAAACGGAAAAACATTGAAGAGTGAGCTCGGAGTGATTCTAGCAGTAGAAGAACCAGTGGCAGTTAAACTATTGGCAGGTAAATTGGCGGGAGATAAACCACTTCAACTAAAGAAACCGGTTAGGAGCACTGTATGTATATATTTCTCGGCGGAGCAGGACAGAATTCCAGTTAAAGAACCAGTTTTGTTCCTCAACGGGTCGGGCAAAGGCATTGTAAACAACATGTTTTTCGCTACCAATGTGGCTCCATCTTATGCCCCCACAGGGAAAGCTTTGGTCTCGGTGTCTCTCATTGGAGTGTACGATGATGTTGCAGATGAGGATTTAGTGAATCTTGTTGTGAAGGAGCTTTCAGATTGGTTTGGAGAGTCAGTAGTTCAGTCATGGAGGTATTTGAGGATGTACAGAATCCGGTTTGCCCAACCGAATCAATGCCCGCCCACAAATCTGCTGAAGAACCCAAGATTAAGACCAGACCTGTATATGTGTGGTGACTTTGTGACCAGTGCTACCTTTGATGGAGCTTTGGTCTCTGGAAGGAAAGCTGTTGAAGCTTTGTTAAAAGATAGGGCTTTTGTTAAACTATAAATCATTCAAATTTTGTCAACTTAATTTGTCAAATGTTGTGTGCAATATAATGTACATTACTGTCTGTTATCCCACACAAAAATTCCATGAAACGCATTTGCAGTTCACTATGATGTCAATTCTTTTGCCCTGCATTCTTCAGGAACTTGAAACTAGTTATGGGGAGATGTTATGTATTTACTGCAGATCTAAGCTTGGGGATGAGATTCGCGAGCTTCTGCAAATTCTTTACATGTAAGTGCTGAACCAATTAGGTTCTTGTTAATCTGGCTTTACACTATGGAAAGAGTCAAGATAATATATCGTTGAAGTTTCTTATATGTGCCGATTGCCAGTTTTTGACAGATTTAATACACCAGTCTTCATAATAGGAATCGAATTTTAGTTTTTAACTGTTGTTGATCTGTACGGCTTTGTCCTATTCAAGATCTATATAGTATAATACTATAATTGGTACCGTTTTTAGTCAAGTCATGTTTTACTTTGAGTTTCTTTTTTAGGGGGTGGGGGAAGATGTTTTTATTGGTAAATAATCAGCAGACAGCTCTGTGATAAGGACTCGGAATCAGAATATTAAATTTTCTTTGATTATTAAGAGATCAATGATCTTATAAGGCAAATAAAAACGAGGTTACTTTCGTGATGATTGATTCAAGTATATAAGACAAATGTGTAGAGCATAAAATATATGTTTCTAATGCTGCCTAGTATTTAGTCATATTATAGTTGGAGATTTCTATCCTGTTATATCTCATATTTTATAATTAATATTCAATGCATGGGACATATGTTTTTCTATCCTGTTATGTCATGTTTTGGATGCTTGCAGTGTGTTTCTTGCTATGGTTAGTACTTTTTAATATGAACATCATAATTGTTTTTTTCCTTCTTGGCAATATATGCCGGCTGCAAAGAAGGACCAAGTCAGAAATGGCAAGAAAGGATAACAAATGTATATCTAGGTAGCCGGCAAGGCAAAGATACCAATCTCTGTGCAGGTTTGCATGAATACCAAGTCCTAACCGAATTTAACCTGGTTAATGGACGGGACATGAAAAGCCATGCAGAAATGCAGTAAATTGAAGAAGTGGCAATGAAACAGAAGGCCAAGGACGTTAAAATCTTGATTTCCAAGACTTGCCCATTCTGAAGACGATAATGGCATATAGTCAAGCTTCTTCACCTCTACAGTCTGAGAGTCGTCAAGGTTCTGTTTTTAGCAAGAAATACATATGGGGAGGAGTTATCGTCGCCATCTCAATGTTATTTTTTGTTGGCTCAATGCTCTGCTGCTTTAGGAAAAAGCTTTATGCAAACTGCAGTTCACGTAGGAAACAAAAAGGTAAGTTCTTTATATCGTTCATGCACGAGTTGTACAAATAGTTTTCTTTTATATCGTTCAAATACTGAGAATTTCTGAATGATTAGGAGCTCTAAAAGCTGAAGAACTGATGCTAAGGATCTTCCAGCTGGAAGAAATACTGAAAGCAACAAACAATTTCAGCAAAGATTGCCTGTTAGGGAGTGGTGCTTTTGGAAATGTTTACCAAGGAATGTTTGATGGAGAGATATTGGCTATCAAGAAGGCCCATAGTGAATCCTACATGAGCACCGAAGAATTCATAAACGGTAAGCTGAAATTAACTCTCGTGTCTGTCTGACATCTCTAGCAGCAAACGCTGTGTAATAACTGATCTGTCTGGAGCTTCATTTAAGCAGAAGTGAGGTTACTTGCGAGAGTTAAGCATGGGAACCTTGTCGGTTTAGTTGGGTTCTGCGAAGAAGCTGGTATGCTCATAACTAACCTTAAATTTACAAGTCATTACCTGTTAAGAAAATTGAAAAATGATGATTATCTTTGATACTTATATTGCCTGCAACACTGCAACAGGGCCAAAGGGATCAAAGATACTGGTTTATGAATATGTTCCCAATGGTTCACTGCTTGACTATATTATGGGTAACATTCTGTATCGAACTCGAAACTCGATGCTGTGACATGAAATAAAACAAACTTCCCTGCTTGTTCTGAATTTCCATATCTATTGTAGGAAGGGGAGGGAAGAGCTTAAAATGGAGACAGAGAGTGAACATAGCCATTGGAGCAGCCAAAGGTGAAGTCTATGATGGGGTAATGTGATTGCATTGATTAATCCAACAGCAGATAGCCGTATTTGAAATGTGTTAATCTGACTATCCCAGGAATAGCTCATCTGCACCAAGGAATCAAGCCGGGTATAATCCACCGGGACATAAAACCAAGCAACATCCTAATCGGAGAAAGCTTCGAGGCCAAGGTCTCAGATTTTGGGCTCGTGATATCGGGTCCTAGTGGTGATCAATCCCATGTCAGCTCTCAAATCAAAGGGACACCAGGGTACCTCGACCCGGCCTATTGCTCAACTCTCCATTTGACTCCATTCACTGATGTCTTTAGCTTTGGAGTCATACTGCTGCAGCTTGTTGCTGCCAGACCTGTGATTCTCTCAACTAAAGCCCATCCCAATCACCACATTATTGACTGGGTATGTGCATACCTGCAATCTCCATTCTCTACTTCAACATTTAGGAGTTTCTTAATACCCTTCTGTTGAGCTGCATGTGGCTCGGAGAGCCAAGTCCAGCATCCTGCAATCGAAAAGTGACGTTGACTGCTTCGCAAGTATAATGAAATAAAGTTACACTTTCGTTTCTAACTATAGCTTTTAACGTAATGGTAAACGCTTGATCTGACAATTGGTATTAGAGTAGAGCCGAGTCAATATCCTACCACTGGAACATGACGCTAACTGTTATGCAAGTATAGCTTATAGCTTTTGACGTAGTGGTAAGTGCTTGATCCTAACACCTTCTATGCCGAAATTGCAGGCAAGGCCTAGCTTGGAGCAAGGCAGGGTCGAGGATATTGTCGACGTTAACCTTTTATTGGAGCCCTGCAACATGGAGATGATGCTGAAAATGGGACAACTAGGCCTAAAATGTGTGGTGCAAGACCCCAAGCAAAGGCCAACCATGACACAAGTCTGGCAAGAACTGGAGGCAGCTCTCTACTTGGTCGACAATAATGTCGTACATAAACAGCCTTCTGACCATCTCTGCAGACCAACCAGCAGGTCAAGCCAATTGCCAGAAATCTGGAACCAAGACTCAACACAGCTCTCCTCCCAGAACTCCATTAGTATAGATGCCATTCAACTCCAAAAGTTTTACATAGAGATGGATAGCTTATCCCACTTTCCAACTGAAAATTTGGGGTGGCTGGAGAATAAGAGTGCAGATGCTGATGATTATGATTCTCAGAATCTTAAGGAAACTATTATAGCTGTGGAAGACTATAACATGCATCGTTAAACATCATTTCTACTTGTGAGACTATGTTTCTCTTGTACATATATAGCTTGGTATCTGTGCTGTATTCTGTTGGTAACTCAAACTCAAACCACTTCTGGCTTGAGTTTCTTTAATTCATAAATTGTATCATGAGTTTTGATTCATCAAGTGATGAATTTTTATGTTGCTTTTCACTAGATTTATGATAAACACTCTTTAAATTCTCGAGTAATATCTTAAAAAATTTTATACTTTGTAATAGTTTAAGTAACTAAATTAATGCCTTACTTTTCTTTTCTTAAATACTGTCTACTGAACGAACTAAGTCTGTAGTTTATCATTGAGGGACTAAAAGTGTCGTTTTAAGGGAAGGGAGAAAAGAGGGAGGGAAATAGGAAGAAGCAGACAAGCATATCTCTATCTCAAGAAATCTCTATTATATCATTCAACTTTTGGGTGATGAGACACTAAAGAAGACGCCGGTTCCAAAGCTAAAAAAGCATTACATTTTACAACAAAAGAATTAAGATTAGCTGCGACTTCTCTAGTTGTTTTTTTTTTTTTTCTTTTGATTAACTAACCAAAACACGGATGGATGTTACAAAGGACACTGAAAAGGGTGTTGTATACCACATAGGAAAAGGTTTTGTTTTTGTTTTTTTTCTAGGATGCCCCAAGCCCTGTTGCTACAGCAGAACCACAAGGAGCCAAGGTTTTTGCCGCCGGCCCGTTGAACCCCCCGCCTCTCACGGATAGCGTCGGGCCTCTTAGCGAACTGGCTCTACTCACGAGGCTCGAGTCCAGGAACAGAACCACCACGGTGATGTCGTCATGGAAGTGCCTACGAACGCCCCGGTCTATCTTCTTCAGATCGGAGTACCTCATCTCTCTTTTCTTCGCTGCTTCTTGTAGCGCAGCTTTCACGAGCCTCCGAGCACTTCCCTGCATCCAAAAACAGAGAAACTCCTAAATTCGTACCAATTTTCGGGGAAAAATAAGTTTTTTTTAGAATGTGTAGAATTTCCAAGTCAAAGAGGCTTACATTTCGAGTGCCATTCTGTACAATATCGACCGCCTCTTGATTGCTGAGGTGTTCCCAGAGACCATCAGATGCAAATATGAGAAATTGGTCATGCGGCTCAAGTTCGTGCACCAAAATCGACGGCTCTGAGCTCAATATCGGCCTGTCAAACGGCTCCCGCAAGCGAAATTTGGCGTACAAAGGCTCTTTGTTGTACTCCGCCTTCTTGAGGTATAAATCGCCAATCGATCTAGAAACCTGCAAATAGAAGGTAGCAAAAACGGGCAATCAATAATAATTAAAGCCGAAGAAAGGAATATAGTACTAGTTGAGGCATTGAATGCTATAACTAGCATCAATACTTATTAGATATCTTAACCAAACTATCACGTTTAACATTTTCAGTAAAATATTTATGATTAAACGAGCATAATGAACCCAATTTACGAGACTTACCTGAATCAAGCCCTTCACCCGCCATACATTATGCTTCAAAACAACAATCTGTGAATCATCGGGATGCATAGAATGCAGCTCCTGTCGAATAGACTCTATACTCGCGTTATGCTCAGTCGAGAGCTGGATGGCGAGAACCTCCCCCGTCGCCTTCACAAGCCTCCCCATGACAGCCCGTGAATCTCCGAGATTAGCAATGTAGAGGGTCCCGTCACAAACAATCCCGACAAGGCAGCAAGATCCTACAGCAGCCATCTGCGGGTTCATTGGCCACTGCTTGGCAACCACCGAAAGAAATCCCTCTTCTGTTGCCTGAAACGCTTTCCGTATCACATCCACTGACATTGCATTTTGCTCTGCTGAAAACCCTGCTATATATATATATACACACACACATAGGAGCTAATAAATTTCGAAGTACAAACTAAAAGACACCATTTTGGTTTGCAGTAACTAAAGACATAAAAACGAAATAGAACAGTCCACATATGGTCATTTAAAAGTGCATATATAGTTGATTACGTACTCTTGAGATTCTGGAAAAGATGATCATTGATGTAGCGGGAAGTTTCTGGTCCTCCATGGCCATCGTATATTCCTACAAACGTTCCAAACGGGCCAGAATCGAGCAAGCTCAAAGAGCCAGACTCGATCTGGCTTTGATCCTCGAGCAAATTGTTGGCCTGGACAACGGCCATCGAGAAATCCCCAATAAGATGCTGCCCGCTATCCTTGTACCAAAGAAGCCCATCTTGCCTCCCAGCAGCTTCAGAACCCGAATGCACATGGGCATCGGACGATGGTCGCCAACAGGCCTTGAGGAAATTTATCAACCTCGATAACATCCCTCATTTCATCAACATCCAAAACGGATGCAACTAAAATCTTCCCACCACTAATCTCTCTTACCCTACAATTCAAAAACAACACTGAAGGGAGAACAGGTTAAGACACAATCCCAGCAGCCCTACTAACCATGAACCTCAAGACTCAAGAATCACTAAATTCAGTAAAGTTGATAGCTTTATCAGAAAGACAAAAGCCTAAAATCAAAAACTCATGTCAATTTCAGCTCCAGAAAAGTAAGCAAAGACTTGTATACAATCAACCTCCAAGATTGCAACTTTGAACAGTTGAACAACAAACAATTGTGGGCAAGAAACCAAAACGTCAAACTTCCCCATCTCTATCCACTTAAGAACCAGTCAATTCTAAGGTCATACAATCAAACCCCACTAAAGAAAAATCAAAACAAAAAAAGCCCAGACACACAATTAGCAGAAAAACACACATAAATTTGAAACCCCATAGGAAAACAAATTTGCAGGTCTCTGAAATGGAGTACTTTTCAAGAACATAGAAAGAGGGGAGAAGACTCACAGCAGTGTGATTAGAGCCCCTTTATGCCATGTATTGCAGTCAGTTACTGAACCTTGCCAACTGAAAAGGACTGAGATCTGAATCAAACTTAGCAAACTATGCGTTTCTCAAAGGGTTAGATCTATAGATCCATCAAACACCCACTTCCATATATTCACTAATATACTCAACACTTACAAAATATAGAGAAAAAGAGAGAAAATTATACTGCAAATTCCCCTTCCTTCCTCTGATTCTTGTTTTCCTTCATTGAACCAAGAAGAAGATAAAGGTGGCTCCTTTCTAAACCAGTGTGTGTGATTGAACCAACTCAATAACTCTTCTGTGTTTATTACTACTAGTTTTTGTGTATTGCCTTTTTCCTTTTCTTTCTTTCTTTCCTTCTCTCTACCTCACTCTTATCTCTCTCTACTTTCTAGTCCTTCCCAGCGGACAAAGACCACCTTATATACTCGTCATTGGGACTTGGGAGTAATTTCCATTTTTCAAAATATATTTTTAAAGAAAGTGTATCGTAATATGTGTAAATTGCATGAATTAATGTTTCTTGAAAGTTACTCTTAGGCCCTATTTTCAGAAAAAAAAGAAAAAAAAAAGGAAAAAAGAAAACCAACAGAATCCATGGCTGAAAGCCAGCAATGCAGAAAATGGGTTGCGCTGTGGTCCACATCCAAACCAGCAAAATATACAACAAATAATTGTTTATGAAATTAAGGGCAGAAAGTTGGATAGAAAGTTGAAAACTATTAATTGTTTATTTGTCGAAAACCCCTCCACTTTTTCACTATTTATGCTGTTCGTCCCCCATTCGATGAAAATCACTTTAGGTGGAAAGTTCTAAGCTGAGATCATGTTTGCTAATTTCGTCAAAAAGATAACTTAAGATAAAAGGGTAAATTTTATTTCAAAAAAAAAAAAAAGGGCAAAAATATATAATAAAAATTTTATCCGTGCATCGCATGGGCAATCGGGCAATTATTTGCATGAATTAAAGCAAGGATAACATAATAATAAAAAAAAAACATAATCGATTCAACTAATTTCATCAATTGCACAATATAATATTTGTTATTATAATTTATATAATTGTATATCGATTCAATTATTCTTAAATATTATAAAAAATCAATTTCGTGCAACACAATGGTGAAAATACTAGAATTTTAAGAATATTTGAATCGATATACAATTATATAAATTATAACGACAAATATTATATTGTGCAATCTATTTAATATTAAAAATACAACAATATTAAAATTCATATTCCTATTTTTCCATCACTACTCAATATTGAATCAATGATATTTAGTTTACTCGAATCTATTTATTCGACTTTGTTATTTACTTTTCATTATTTATAAATAAACTAATTTGTTTTGTTTTTTTTTTTTTCCTTTTAAGAGTTGATGTTATTGGATTCAGATAAAATATAGTTTGTTATGGTAGAGTTGGAGAAGTTGCTATTTTTGTGGGGGAAGAGCTTGAAGGACTTTTCAGAAATGCCAATTCCAGCCCGAAACTAGCATAGGTTTGAGTGAAAACATGTTGATAGCTGAAGAGTTGGCGTATGACAAGAAATCGTTAAAGACAAAACATGAAACGTTGGTAACACAATTGACCGACGAGCAAAAGAATGTTAACGACTCTGTGATGAATGATATTGATTCCAATGGAGGTGGATTGTTATGTGTATGGTTACAGAAGAACAGGGCAAGACGTTCATGTGGAGAACGTTATCATCAAAGATAAGGAGCCACGGTGATATTGTTCTGAATGTTGCTTCTAGTGGAATAGCATCTTTGCTCTTGTCGGGAGGCAGACGTCGCATTCCAGATTTGCTATACCACTCTCCTTGGATGAAGCATTGATGACGCACAAACACTATTTTGAGACTTTGGACAAAACCATGAGGGATCTATTGATATTCGCCATACCGGGTAGTGTTGAAAAGACTTTTGGTGGAAAGACAATAGTTTCGGGCGGCGATTTTAAACAGAGCCTACCTATTATTCTGAAAGCAACAAGACAAGTAGTTGTCGGAACAAATATTAATTCTTTATACATGTGGACAAATTGCAAGGTATTAAGGTTCACCAAGAACTTGAGGCTACGGACCTTAGCTTCAGAGGAAGATAGACAGACGATTGATTGGTTTTCAAAATGGACTGCAGACATCGGAGATGGGATTGTAAGGGTTTGTAAACAACAATTCATTTGAGGTCGATATTCCGACACAGTTTTTGTTGAAGTGTGGACACAATCGCATAGCAACTATAGTGGAAAGCACATTCCCAAGCTCGAGATATGGCATGCTTGAATTGATGAGTCGCAACTAGAAGGTCGAGCGATCCTCTGGCCGACTTTAGATGTCGTTGATCAAATTAATCAGTACATGTGCGACATGAATACTGTAGAATGACGAATATATTTAAGTTGTGACTCTTTGTGTAAGGCAGAATCAGACAGTGAAAAACCATCAAAAGTACACACTCCTAAACTCTTAAATAGTTTGAAATTGTCGGGTCTTCATACTCATTCATCGACATTAAAGGTCGGTGCACCTATTATGTTATTGCGGAACTTAGACCACTCTCTTGGTCTTTGTAACAGGACGACTCATCATCACAAGATTGGTAGATCACATTGTCGAAGCAAGAATAAATAATGGGACACGTGAAGGAACCAAAGTTCTTATCCCCCGAATGTCTCTCGCTCCTTTTGATAGGAGATTGCCCTTCAAGTGCCAGCGTAAAGAATTCTTGTTGATGCTTGCATATGCCATAACTATCAACAAAAGCCAAGGTCAAACACTAACCCACGTTGGGTTATTGCTAAAAATAAACAGTCTTTAATCACAGATAATTGTACGTGGCTTTCTCCCGAGTCACCCATCCTAATGGCCTAAAGGTGTTAGCTCTAGACAATGATGGACAAGATTGTGTTGCGACTACCGATGTCGTCTATAAAGAGGTTTTCAATAATGTGTAAATATAATCGATGATATTACCTCTTTTTTTTCAAAATGACAAAATTGCTATATATCTAGACAAAAATATATCCTTTATACAAATGAATTAGGATAGCAATTGATTACTATAACTAAGTTGTTAGAGAACGAACCCAATTTATAAAATTCTAAACAATGATATATAAATTTCGGTAAAGTTACAGCACCGCATGCATACATCTACACATTAACTATTAATTTGAGCAATTACATGCTCGAATTCAGGCAATGATAACATCAATAAACATAAATGATCCAAACCATATCTTCAATTGCACTATATAATACTACGCATTTGTTGTTATAATTTAAATAATTGTATATCGATCCAAATATTCTTAATATATTATAACAAATCCATTTCGTGCATCGCACGAGTGAAAATACAAGTTTGTGTTAAAACTATAATGTTATGCAGTTGTTATTTGGACAATTTTGATATAAACTTGTATCACTATAACATATTTAATAACTCCCACAATTTACGTAACCATGCAATGTTAAGCTTCATAAGCTCACATCCAACAAACTTCATAAAAATAAAAGTACACAACTTACACTTTTCATTACACTCCCTCCTAATCTCCTTCTTGACATTACACTTTTCATTTGATGATTTAGTTGATTATAATTATAAAATGTCACCGCATTTTTTTTAAAAATTTGATATGATCCGTTTGATTTTTCCAGATGTAAGGCTGTGATATATATATATATATATATATATATATATATATATATATATATATATATATATATATATATATATGGAAGGGATCAGGTGCGGGAGGGGGCTTCCCGTGCAGATGTGCGGTTGGACTCACATTAAGCATTAAACTGACGCACTTTAAGTACACAACACACGCACATTAAGCACACAAATAAAATACCTTGAGAACACAAATCCACGCACTTAAGCACAAAACTCACGCATCTTAAGCACAACTCTCACGCACCTTAAGCACAAAACTAATGCACCTTAAGCACAAAAACTCACGCATCTTAAGTTTCAACAACTACTCACATTAAGCACAAACTCATGCACCTTAAGCACAAGACTCACGCACCTTAAGTACAAAACTCACACACCTTAAGTACAAAACTCACGCACCTTAAGCACAAAACTCATGCACCATAAGTTTCAACAACTACTCACATTAAGTACACACCCACGTAGGGATGTGCAAATTTCGGATAATTTTCGGTTAACCGACCGAACCGACAAAGTTCGGTTAACCGTTTTCGAACCGAACTTTTTCGGTTCGGTTAATGGTTAAAGGAATTTTAAAGCTTCAGTTAACGGTTAATTCGGTTCGAAAGGTCGATTAACCGAATCAACCGAACGGTTAACCGAAGTTTTTAATATATATATATATATATATATATATATATATATATATATATATATCCTTTATATAATAAAGCGATATGGTTTGGGAAATAATTAATGTTACAATTAATGCCACAACATCCTTTATTATTAAAAAAAAAAAAAAAGCACAACATTTAAAAAATAAAATAGCTATATATTATATAATCATATAAAAAATATACTTTTGAAAAATAAAATAGCTATATATTATATAATCATAAATGTGTTCAATTAGAGTTTAAATTTACACATACAAAATTAGAAATTTGCTTTCCAAATGTAATTATCTTAGTTATTATTTGTATTGTGAAAATTATAATATAGATGAAATACAATTAAGAATAAATCAATGTAATTATGTAAATTATCTCTATAAGTTTATTTAAATATGCACATAATTAAAGATTATATTAACCATACAAAATTATAATTTTAATTTTAATTGTAATTTTGTATTCTATAAAAATAATAAATACTTGACCAATGGAAGCTCAAAAATATTATTATATTAAATAATTTAAAATTTTTAGTTTTTTTATTTTTTATTTATATTTATAATAACATAATTTTTTCCGTGCATCACGCGAGTGAATTACTAGTGTG